AGACTCGTCCTCTGGGGACACTGAAACAAGGGCTATTTACTACCTACAGAAAATCCCCTATGAAATGGGTTACTAAACAGCTGCTGTAATATTAGAGGTGTTTAGCATGACAGTACTGATCAAAGAGGGACAAATATAATGCTTTTCCATCACTGTTAGCATCTGAGATCTCTAGATGTGCCAGAGTGTGGATATAACTGTAACTGAGGAGACTGTATTACCAAACCAGGGCAAAACAAGGAATGGTTTTTCTAGAGTGGAGCAAATGGTGGGACAGGAAGATAACTTTGAGGAATGACTGCCTGCCAGCAGTTAACTTAAGATTTGGTGTTTGACACGGTCCAGCTGAGAAGAAAGAACAGGAGGCAAAGGAGAAAAACAAAGAAAGACAGTGAGGGGGACCAAAAAACCAAAAAAAAGCAGCATGTACTCCCCCAGTATCCTGTTTCCACTAAAAACACGAATTGTTTCCTTCTGTCTCATCCTGGTGACAGATTGTGCAAAATGTATGTGGAGAGCTGGCTGGAACATAGCTCACAACCTGCCAAGGACCAAATGTGTAATAATTTCAAAATGACAGCAAAACAGCCATTAAATATTTGATGAGAAAGTCTTTTAAGTCATAGATTTCAAAACCCCTTTTAAAGCAGGGAGAGTATTTTGTATTAATTTTACTCATAGAGAAATGTAAATGAAGTGAGAATTTGCTTAGCCAAAGCGTTGCGGACTGTTAGAGGCCAGAACTTAGAACAGAGCTCTCTTTTATGAAACACTCGATGCTTGTGATTAAGCTCTCTGCAAATTCTGTTTTTCCCCCCATAACATCGTTGTGTAAAGTCTTCATGTCAGTCTTCAAATGGGAAGGAAAGTAAGGTCCATCACAGGAGAGTGTCTGGTGGCCTAATAAAATCTCCCTCTCTTCTCCATTTGTAGCGTTTGATCTGCACTGCTGTATTACTGCTTACTTACCCAGTTTGTTCCTTAGATGGCATTCACATCAGGTTATAGCAAAATATATTCCTTGAATGCAGAAGGATTTGTAGTGGGTTACGTTCTGCAAACTCCTGCTGTTTTCATTGGGCTCAGCTACCTAATTAAAGATCAAGTCCTCTTCCCAGTGTTGAGATTCAGGATGAAATCTACCACATGCAAGGATGATGAGCCTATCCTGCAAGGCAAATTAGAGATAAAAAAACATCAAACCTACTGAAAGAAAGGCAAAGCCACCCGGCAAAGTTTATGAAAGCCACACTCTCGCTTGCCCTGTGTGTGATCTGCATAGTGTTAAGAATGTAATCACCAGTGTACATTTCTAACTGGGAGAACGAGTTCTCATTATGCTTTTGTCAGCTCAGAGTAGGAGAAAGATGTGGTGTGAGCACTGGTCTGGATGCTGGAACTCATGAATTCCAGTCCTGGTAATGACAAAAGATCACTGTGTGGGCAAGGCACTTAACCCCTCTGTGCTTCTCTTTTTTCAGAAATGAAATGAGAATAGCGTTTCCCACTCAGGATTGTGGAGGAAGATTAATTAATGTTTGAAAAGCCAGTCTTGCAGTGGGAAGAGTTATCTAAGAGCTAAGTGTTTATTAATGATCACCCTTTTATAGAAACCACTTCTTAGCACAGTGATATGGTAGATTAATAAAATGTGCTCTACCTGGAAAATAAGAGATTAGGGTGAATTCTGGAAGATTCAGTCTATTGGAGAAACCATGAAGTTCTGACTTAGCTTTTATTCTAGCGAAGTCTCATTGAAGCCAGCGGTTCATTTGCCTGACTAATACCAGGATACCCTTTTTTCCCCTGCAAAAGGCTAATTTTCTTGGGGAATAGGAAATCTCTGCAGTTTCAACTCATGGCATCACTTTGGAGTTTTTCCATGACTGAAACATGAATTTGAAAGGTGGAAAAGTCTATAGAAGAAAAAAAAAGCTGCTGGAAGCTGCAAATCTTTGGTCCTGTGAAGGATGTCCCAGGACTGTGTAAACAGAATTCCTTTACCTCAGCTCTGTTTATAGAGTCCTCCAAATTCGCTTTTTAGCTGGGCATGTCTCAGCTTGCCACCACCCTTGAAGGCCATAGGAAAGAGTTTTGGCAGTGGCAAGGGCTCCACTGCAGAACTGCTACTTCCTCAGCCAATGTTGATACTTGCTGGTTTTTTCCTGGTCAGCTAATACTTTTAAGCTGGAGAAGGGCAAGTCTGCAGACCCAACTGATTTCCTATGTCATCCTAAACTCCGCAGCTCAAATCCCTGCAGGATCCTGTAGGAAATGGAGGCAAAGTCACAGCCTCGGGATTTCCTGCAGGGAACGCACGTTACCTTTTGTGCATTGAGGGAGAAAGATGCGTGAGACCTATATTTAAGGTCGTGGTGCTTTTGTAAAGGAACGGCAGTAGAGCTGGAATTGTGGCTATGTTTTCAGGGAGAGCTGAATGAAGTAAAGCCTGGTGGAATTTTTAGAAATCTTTTTGGGTTGAAATTTAAAACGCCCTCTGAGAGGTAGATGGGACTGGGTTTTGGAGCTTACCTGATTTTGCAGCTAGGTTAGCATTAATGCAGGATCAAGCTGGATAAGAGCAAGATAGGTGGATGTGTATCGTATAGCGATTAACACCAAGGGCCTCCTGCTTTGTCAGTTCAGCACTGATCAACTGAGAGTGCTCTGAACGTAATTTCAGCAGACAGAAGTTTTTGAGCAGTATCAATAATTCATAGCAGAAGAATTATTTTCTAACTTTCATCTTCAAATGCACACAATTAAGGGGGATAGAGTAGGGCACTTAGAGTGATACTCAAATAATCTGCTAGAAATGTAAATCTGTCTCTCCATTCTAAGAAATGCTGTAACATTTGTGTAATTAGAAGGAGTTATCTTTCTGAAATAGTTTAAACAGTGAGCATTTTGTAGCTGTCTCCAGTTTGATGGTTACTTTTGTGGCACACTTTTTCCAATATTCAAGAAGTGGAGTCAGAGTCCTACAGACCTGTGGATATCTTGGTGCTTGACTCTGTCAGCATCTGTTCCACTGCTCGTCCTCTGCTCCGTAGGACCACAGAGGAAGAGTTTCCCTTTCCAGAATGCATTAGAAGAACACATGGCTCATAGCAGAAGAAGGGAGGCTGAACTGATGTTCGTGCATCTAACAGCAGTCTACTTGTTCAAAATGTCTGGCAATAGGGTTATGTTTACACGTGCAACAAGGGCAGGTTCTTCAAAGAATGGATGTGCACACGTATCTGGGCATTTTATTTCTCCCCAGCTTTCCGCCCTCCCTCCTGCAGGAATTCTCATTTCTAAACCAAGGGAATTCAAAGACTGAAAAAATCTATGGCTAAGGACACATTACATTTGGAAAAACCTTGTGTCCTGTTGTGATGACTACATGATCATCATCTTGCAGAATGGAGAGAAGTTGCATAAAAGTATCTCATCTTCCAGATCACTCATTGATATAATGAAGTTGTTTTACACGTTTCTAATAAGGCCAAGTATTTTCCTTGAGGGAGTTTTCAAATCAGCTGGAAGAGATGGAGAATGAATATGTTACCATGCTAGGCTTTGATTTACAGTTTTCTATCATCTGTTCCAGAATGTGGTCCATCAGTTGGCTTTTTGTGAGTAGTAGCAGAAAGGTATAATAATGGAAGTTTTACTTAAGTGAATTTACGTAAATGAACAAATGAGGTGGGTCTTTTTGGATTGTTGTTGTTTATGGAGCCTTATGACATTCCCAGACTCAGGTGTCTGGGGAATGGGAAGTAAGTATCCATACACATTGCAGGATACATTCTCAATGTCAGGGTGAGTGAAGGTTTTAGGAGGGGATGGTGACTTCCTCCTTGGAGTTTTTAAAGGGGTCTAAAAACAAGACAGGGAACTAGAGACTGCTGAGTTCTCTTCTCTCCTCTGGCACCACTTTCACTGCCTTCATAAGCAAGCTATTCAGGACAAGACTACTGGGCATGACATTTAATCCTGTGTGAAATCTTTGAGGTTAATGAAGCTAGTAAAGTGACTGAAAATGTATCTGGGAGTAAAAATTTGCAGGAAGGGCACTAAGCTTCTTTGCCCTTGTTTCCTAGTCTTTTAAAACGGCAATTGTATTTGGTAGATGAAATAGCTGTATGAAAGAAAATGGATGTTCAGAGGATGCTTTGAAGATTAAGACATAACTTTTAGAGACAATAACATGAATTAAAAACTTTAGAAAAGCTGACTTTGTGTAATGAATCTTATGATGAAGCTTGCCCTTGTGGTGAGCACCCTGTGCAAATGTAAACCTTTCCTCACCCTGAATTATTTGATCTTGTTCTTAATATCTGTTGATTTAGTCCTAAAATAAACAAAAGTTCAGAAGGAGGATTCTCTGTCACACTTTGTATTATTTATTATGCTGAACATGAAGTTCACCTGGGAAAAGAAGTATCACTACTGTATGTTCTTCTAGCAAGACACTGGGGATTATTTCCATCTCTTTATGTTGACTAGGAATCTGTGAATACAGCCATTTATTACCCTTTAACATAAAAGTTATGTTAAAAAAATAGGTAATACTGTTTCCTTTTCTCAGAGATCAATAATGAAGAAGATAATGTCCTTTCTTCTTAGTCCAGTGCCCGTTGCTGTGCGTTGTGCAGCACCCACATCGGAACTGGCATTTCATTTAATTTTCTGTGCAATCTTGTTAGTAATCTCAGCAGAGAGGATTAGGGCTGTGTGAGCTGCAGAGGCTGAACGTGCATTTGCCTAGGCCCGTAGGAAGGACTGCTGGCAGCACGGTGGGAAGAAAGCTTGTGTGGGGACGACCGGCTGTGGGGCTGCCCTTCTGTCCTTCTGCCTTTCACCAGCATCAGCTGGATGAGTTTTGGGCAGGCGCGTGGAGCGTGCGGCGCTGCTCTCGGGCAAGAAGGAAGTGTTATTTTAGAGGATGCTGCCGTTGTTGCAGATCACACTGATGTTTCCATTCTCTCTTCCCCTCCCTCCTATCTCCTTTCCTCCCAGTCTGTGGCAAGCGTTACAAGAACAGGCCTGGGCTGAGCTACCACTATGCTCACACCCATCTCGCCAGCGAAGAGGGCGATGAAGCCCGAGAGCAGGAGACTCGCTCTTCCCCTGTCCACAGAAATGAAAACCACAAACGTGAGTAGTATTCTGCCTTTGCCTTTGAGATTGTTTTCAGGGATGTTGCCCCTGCCCTGTCTTTGCCTTGTGGAGGCTGGCGTGATTGCCTGGCTCCGTTGTGAGTGATTGGGACCTGGATGCTTGGAGCTAATCAGCCGCAGCTCACACGGGTGCTGGCTCAGCTAGTCAGGAATTCATTTCAAACCCAGCATTATCTCTGCAGCAAGTCACTTTTCCATTACTGCTCCTGTGGGGAGGAGGTGGCAAGGAGAGGGGGAAAAGAAGAGATGCCCAACCTGCCCATCATCGAGCAGCATCCCGGTGGCTGTTAGCAGGGATGCCAAGGAAATACGGATCCTGTTTGAGGGGGCTGCCTTTGAATAAGAGACCTTTAGCCATGTCTCAGTTTTTTAGGTATGAAATTCACAGCACCTGTCCCCCTTATCCCTGCATCCCCTCCCCAGAAGGCTTACCCTCAGCTTTACCAAAAGCCACTTCTTGGTTACAGTTTTGGAAAAGTCTAGGAAAAAAAGCATCAGTGCTGATCCGCAAGGAGGAGAGCTGGAACATGAGAAGAGAGAAAAGTTACGTGCTTGGATTCCCCAGGTACAGGGCTGAAAGAAATCTTAGTGGTCCAAATGGCCCTATTTGACTGTCCTTCCTCTGCTCAGGCACAGAGCTGTGAGTCAAAGAGACTGTGTTTTATTACCAGTCTTTGCAGGTCTCTAAGCCCCTGTTTCTCAGTTTTCCAGTGTGCAATACTATGTGATGGTTGCTTTTACCTTGGGATTTGTGCAGATGCCTTTGTTCCCTTTCAGAAAGTCCTTTCAGATCACCATGTGAACTGTGTCATTTCAGTTCAACGTAATGAACAATGTGGACAAAGCAATAAAATGCTTATGGGGGAAAATACCCAGGCAAACACTTCCTAACACATTAAGAAGAACTGGAAGAAATATGGAAGTAGGAAAACATTTTCTTTCTAAGCAGGATAATTGATAATTGTCCCCAGGGAGGTGTGGGAGGGGGTTTCCTTCCTCCAAAGCATCTGCTACTAGCCACTGTCTGAGCTTGAAGGGCCGTTTAGTGTGATCCCATTTGGCAGTCCCTATGTTTCTGTCACTTTTATGCTCTACCTTTTACTTATTCACATGTTTTGTAGGTTCACAGCGAAAGCAATTTTGACTCCTCCAGCTGCTGATAGACTTGAGCTGTCAATGCACTAAGAGTGACTGCTTGGGCAGGCTGGAGAATGTCAGTGCTCAGCCAGTAGCTTTTGTTTACTTAGCATTTACATCAACTCTGTTGGTTTTTTGGTTTTGTGGTTTGGTTTTTTTTTCCCCTGTGCCTGCAGTAATCAATAATAGTTGCATATCTGAGAGGTATATTGCAAATCTACATTGAATAAGTATTGGTAGAGACCTTGCACAGCTGCCCATACAAAGAAGGGTAGTATCCCCTGCCCTTCAGCTTGTCATCGATGCCAAGGACAGTCTCAGCCCTTATATTTCTGGTGCTTAGGAAATGATAAAAGTTAGCAGGAAAAGGAGGTAGAAAAGCTGTGGTAAGGTTAGGAGCAGCCAGCCTTGACCCCTGGAAAGTAAGGTTCATTCTGCACTATAGGAAAGAGCAGAGCAGTTGCTGCTTGGGTCTGTGTTCCCCCAGAGCTCCTGTGTGATGTTTGTGGCAGAGGGAAGCTGCTGATGCACAGGTCCCTAGACAGGCAGAAGTTTAGAGCCACTGAGATCCAGATTCCTGAGCAGAAAGAATCTGCCTAACAACCAGCCAGGAGCCAGTGAGGTACAGGCAATGGCCATGCGAACGTGAAGATCACCCCTGGGGAAAGTCGCAGACGCCGGAAGGTAACTCTCCCAAATGGCTTAGCTGTCGCAGTGGCTGTTTGTTCCTTTTTGCCTGTTTGTTTGTTTACAGCCTTGAGCTCAGATCTTGCATCTTTGCTCTTTCACTTGGCGATATTTAATTTATGCTGCCATTTATCTTCCATGTGAATGCTAATTGTCCACATTGCTAATGTGCAGTCATTAAATGGTCCCTTTGTACAGGGGGATGGTGGGGAGCCAGGGCACCAGATCCTTCCTCTCCCCTAAGAACTGCTAGGCATGTGTTATGAATTAGATTTGACAGGTCTGCAGTGTCGCAGGGCTTGGGCTTCAAGAATCCTCTCTGCATGGGCTTGGGGCAGGGGGGGGAGAAGAGAGGAAAGGCAGGGTGGATGTTAATCCAAACAGCTAATCCGCAACCTACTGAACAGCAGGACCAGAGATACGGTATAGAGCAGGGTCTGGTTATTTGCTTAGCAGTGTGTCAGAGAGATATGAGCAGCCTGATTTAGAAAAGGCAAGACAAATTCGAAGCAGCCATTTGGAATTTGCCGTGCCGTGGGAGGTGAGCACTGGGTCAGCGAAGTTCAGAGGGGTGGCTGCAGCATGAACTTCCTTCCTTTGTATCCGCATCTCCTCTGCAGCCTCCGCTCTTGCAGTACCTCTGGTAACAACAGCCTTGCTGGTGCAGGGCTTCTGCAGGATTCAGCTCCTGATGCCCTGGCTGGTGGCAGCCTAAGAGCTGATGGCCTCCTGTCTTTCTGCACGCTCAGTCTCCCTTATCTTTACTCTTCTCCTCATGCACAGGCCAATTTGGGTAGTTTAATAAATTATCCAGGGACTGGAAAAGAGGTGTAGATAGGAGGAACCGATCTGAAACTGAGAACCACTGAATAGATGTTTATCAAAGAACGGGGACTGGCTTAAGCCCCAAGTCTCGCCTCCTTGGCACATCTTGCTGTCCTTGACTCTTCTAGAAGGTTTTTTTTATTTATGTCTCTCTCCTTCTGTCCTTCTTCCTCACCTGCAGATTACCCTTTGCAAAATGGAAGCTAGTTCAACAGTCTTCTCTGGCCTTTGCCTTTCCTAAAACACCTTAGCTTGTGCTTTGTTTGAGCTTTAGTTGCTTTGTTTGTATATCTTATCTAGCCCCTTGACACAGATAAATATCCCTTCCTCAGTGCCCAGTCTTTCCTCTGCCTACAGACACGTTTATTTTTGACTTACTGATTTTTTTTTTTAACCTGAGTATGGAACTGCAAAAAGGAAGTTACAGAAAACCCTTAAAAAAGTCAAATCCCCCCCCTTCTCCAATGCCCCTGATAAAAAGAAATGATCCCACACCATTCTCAGCCAGAAAAACTGCTGGCTTCTCCTCCACATGTTGGCACCGAGAGCGTGAGATTTGTGAGCCCAGGGTGCATCCAAGCCTGCCACAAAACACCTGCTGTTTTATTCCATCTCACTCCGTGGGTACAGGCCAGCTCGGGGGGCAGCTGGTGCTCACAAATTTTGAGACACTTCTGATATAGGAATTTCATTAGACTTCTATCTATTGAAATGTGTGTGTGAATGAGTGTACTGGTATAAATGCTCTTCCTTAATTCCTGGGAGAATAGGACAGTGTGTCTACATGGAGAAGAACTTCCTCTCCTTAAAGGAGAAGCATTTTCAGTGGCATTTTGCTGTATGAAATGTTGGTTACAGGCAGCTGTGCATTAAACAGCCACTGAGCAGATCTCATGCCCACAAGCACTTTGGCCAATGACAATCCTAACTAAAGCACATTGTGCAGGCTGTTGCTGGCCGAGCAGCTGTGTGCAGGGTGGTCCATCCTGCAGTGCACCTTGTTAACGAGAGTGCAGTCCTGTGCCCTCCTGCTAGCTTGCACATCTGACCTGCAAAACCACTCGAGTATGTTATTTCGTGGCATCAGCCTGTTGTGCCCGGTTCCATCGCAGATTTTATGATGTGGATAAATCTCTACTGGCGAGACCAGCTAAAGTTGTTTGTGTACTCTAAGCATAATTGGATACCCAGTCTCCAGAGATAAAAAATTAATGTGCTAACCTCAGTGTGCCTCCAAGCTGTCCTCCAGCTCCCCCACACAGTCATCTTTGAAACATTTTTATTTCCATCCAGGCAGGGGGCTGGCCATGAATAAATGACGAGAGTCAGCCCCTCAGTTGGAGACGAGCTGTTTGTTCCTCTCCACAAGCAGCATCAATTTGAAAAGCTACATCAGGCCTACTTTTTCCCTGCCTCAATGCTGATCCTTGCTGGGGCCATGATGGGAGCTACTTCTGAATGCAAGGATGCATCAATGCCCACCTTGTGACAAGACACCCTACAGCAGGTGCCTTTTCAGTGAAAATATGTACATTACCTTGAGTTGACTTCTCATTAGTTCAATCTGTTTGGTTTTTTTCTTTTCTAGAGCTTGTTTTCATAAGGAAAAAGACTTAGAATACTAAAAGAAACAGCAGTGATTGCAGAGTTTGGAACTGTGTGACGATTTCCACTCAGACCCTGTTTGCAGCTGTAAATCTCCCTCAGACTTTTGTGCCTGTGCTTTGGGATGCTGAGGAAAAAACCAGATCTGTTTTTTTAGAGTTTTGGAATAGTGGAAAATCCCAAATTCATCCCCTATGTATCCATAGGGGACTTCTTGTTGGTTTGTTTGGAAATGTGTGGGTTTTTGGTACTCTGCGAGGTTTTTTTTATGTTGCCTGACCAGCACCTGAAATGTTGTTGTCAATGTGCAACTCTCATTGAAGAGAAGCATCTAGTGCTTCTCAGTAGTTTATGGGAAAACATTTCCAATTTGACTAATCAGTTTTTGAAAACCAAGTGCTGCTTCAGTAACATGTCAGCTCTTGAGACTGAATGGGATCATTTATGTATTTATAATTTTTCTCCTTGCTTTTTTTCTCCTCTGTGAAGGATTTGAACCAAGTAAAACCCAAAAGTTTTGACCAAATTTGAGCTTAGGTGCTTTGCCTTCTCACAATCCTCCAATGAATAATTTCCACATCCAAAGCCTACAACTTGTTGCAGGAACCTATTTCACGACACTGCCCATTCTTACCTGAATGCTGAGGGATGCTGCTGGACGGGGCTATATATTGGACATTATAATCCCTCTGTGAGTTCAAGTCTCAGGAGATGTACCTCTCA